TCCCACCCCCAGGTACCCCAAAATCCACCGTCCCCCAACTCTGAAAGGTGCCCTCAGGGACCCCCAAAATGCCTCGGGACCCCAATTTCCCCTCAGGGACCCCAAATTCCCCTCAGGGACCCAAATTTCCCCTCAGGGACCCCAATTTCCCCTCAGGGATCCCAAATTTCCCCTCATGGACCCAAATTTCTCCTCATGGACCCAAATTTCCCCTCATGGACCCAAATTCCCCTCATGGACCCCAATTTCCCCTCATGGACCCAAATTTCTCCTCATGGACCCAAATTTCCCCTCAGGGATCCCAAATTTCCCCTCATGGAACCCAAATTTCCCCTCACACTCCTGCTGACAGCACACAGGACCCCAATTTTCCCCTCATGGACCCAAATTTCCCCTCAGGGACCCAAATTTCCCCTCATGGACCCAAATTTCCCCTCATGGACCCCAAATTTCCCCTCATGGACCCAAATTTCCCCTCATGGACACAATTTTCCCCTCACACTGCTGCTGACAGCACACAGGACCCCATTTTCCCCTCAGGACATCCCTCACAATCCCCATTTTTCTCTCAGAATCCCCATTTTCCCCTCAAACCACATTTTCCCTCTCACAATCCCATTTCCCCCTCACAATCCCCATTTCTCCCCTCCCAATCCCCATTTCCCCCCTCCCAATCCCCATTTCTCCCCTCCCAATCCCCATTTCCCCCCTCCCAATCCCCATTTCTCCCCTCCCAATCCCCATTTTCCCCTCCCAATCCCCATTTTCCCCTCACAATCCCCATTTTCCCCTCACAATCCCCACTTTTACCGGGCCCCCCGCGCAGCTCCATTCCCCGCGCTCGCCCCGCTCCGCGCGTGGCGCCCCCTGGCGGGCGGGAAAAGGGGCGGGGAAACCCCGCTGGCCCCGCCCACCGACCAATGAGAACCCGCCGTGAGCCGCTGGCCACGCCCCCTGACCACGCCCCGGGGTCGCCATGGAAACGCGGCCTAGTGCGACGCCACCGGGAGTTCCCGCGCCGCTCTGTCGCGACAGAACGAGACCCGAGCGCCCCGCCGCGGTTATCACGACATTCCCGGTGTCGCGACAGCACCCGCAAAGCCCCGACACCCCTCAAACCCCCGCCGGTATCGCTCGGGGCAGGCAGCGCTGCCGTTCCCCCCTTCCCGGCGCGCCCGAAGTGACTCCGCCCCCTCTCCCGCCCTCAGCGCTGATTGGCTGCCGCCACCACGGCGACGCGTCACCATGGCAACCGCGGGTCAACGCGGCCGGCCCCCAAACGGGGCCCGGGGTCCCCAAAACCGCGGCGGGACCCCCCCCCCCAAAAAACCGCAAATCCCACCCCCCCTCTGCCTTTCGCAGGGCTCCCCGAAGGGTCCGGCCTGTCCGGGGGAGGGGGCCGAGCCCCCCACGAACAGACGGGGCCAGGGGGCTGCTGGGCATCAGTTTAATACCGGGGTGCGGGGGGTGTGGGNTCCCACCCCCAGGTACCCCAAAATCCACCGTCCCCCAACTCTGAAAGGTGCCCTCAGGGACCCCCAAAATGCCTCGGGACCCCAATTTCCCCTCATGGACCCCAATTTCCCCTCATGGACCTCAATTTCCCCTCAGGGACCCCAATTTCCCCTCAGGGACCCCAATTTCCCCTCATGGACCCCAATTTCCCCTCAGGGACCCAAATTTCCCCTCATGGACCCCAATTTCCCCTCAGGGACCCCAATTTCCCCTCAGGGACCCCAATTTCCCCTCATGGACCCAAATTTTCCCTCATGGACCCAAATTTCCCCTCAGGGACCCCAATTTTCCCCTCACACTCCTGCTCACAGCACACAGGACCCCATTTTCCCCTCAGGACATCCCTCACAGTCCCCATTTTGCTCTCAGGATCCCCATTTTCCCCTCAAACCCCATTTTCCCCTCACAATCCCACTTTTCCCCTCACAAACCCCATTTTCCCCTCAAACCCCATTTTCTCCCCTCACAAACCCCATTTTCCCCTCAGACTCCATTTCCCCTCTCACAATCCCATTTCCCCCTCACAATCCCATTTCTCCCCCCACAAACCCCACTTTTCCCCTCACAATCCCATTTTCCCCTCCCAATCCCCATTTTCCCTCTCACAATCCCATTTTCCCCTCACAATCCCCATTTCTCCCCCCACAAACCCCACTTTTCCCCTCACAAACCACATTTCCCCCTCACAAAAACCACTTTCCCCCCTCCCAATCCCCATTTTCCCTCTCACAATCCCCATTTCTCCCCTCACAAACCTCATTTTCCCCTCACAAAAACCACTTTTCCCCTCCCAATCCCCATTTTCCCCTCACAATCCCCATTTCTCCCCTCACAATCCCCATTTCCCCCCTCACAAACCCCACTTTCCCCTCACAAATCCCACTTTTTCCCTTCACAATCCCCATTTCTCCCCTCCCAAACCCCACTTTTCCCCTCCCAATCCCCATTTTCCCTTCCCAATCCCATTTTCCCCTCCCAATCCCCACTTTTACCGGGCCCCCCGCGCAGCTCCATTCCCCGCGCTCGCCCCGCTCCGCGCGTGGCGCCCCCTGGCGGCCGGGGAAAGGGGCGGGGAAACCCCGCCCACCGACCAATGAGAACCCGCCGTGATCATCTGGCCACGCCCCCTGACCACGCCCCGGGGTCGCCATGGAAATGCGGCCTAGTGCGACGCCACCGGGAGTTCCCGCGCCGCTCTGCCGCGACAGAACGAGACCCGAGCGCCCCGCCGCGGTCATCACGACATTCCCGGTGTCGCGACAGCACCCGCAAAGCCCCGACACCCCTCAAACCCCCGCCGGTATTGCTTGGGGCAGGCAGCGCTGCCGTTCCCCCCTTCCCGGCGCGCCCAAAGTGACTCCGCCCCCTTCCCCGCCCTCAGCGCTGATTGGCTGCCGCCACCACGGCGACGCGTCACCATGGCAACCGCGGGTCAACGCGGCCGGCCCCGAAACCGGGCCCGGGGTCCCCAAAACCGCGGCGGGGACCCCCCCCCCAAAAAAACCGCAAATCCCACCCCCCGTCTGCCTTTCCCAGGGCTCCCCGAAGGGTCTGGCCTGTCCGGGGGAGGGGGCCGAGCCCCCCACGAACAGACGGGGCCAGGGGGCTGCTGGGCATCAGTTTAATACCGGGGTGCGGGGGGTGTGGG